AAATAAGTCAAACTAAGTCCCCCAGTGTACTTGCCAACTGCTCAGAAACCAGGAATGGTGCTGCTACCTCTCCAGCACTTTCTTCCCAAGTGTGAGGAACAAAACCAGCCCAGTCTGGGTGCAGTCACCCAGCACAGGGTGACTCAGCATGCCAGCTCCTTAATAAGCCATGACTTACTCAAAGACTACCACCAGACAACTCCATATAATTCACTCAAAGTTTCCACTACAGAGATGCATATTCCCCAATTCCAAATGCACTCAAATGCATTGTCCAGTTTTAATTTGCATTAAAATACAGAATAATTGAGATGAGAACCCAACAAAATGCAGCTACTTGACCATTTTATGCAACTGCACATCTTTTCTACAACTGAATATAAGAGTAAGAAAGTCTACATATGACAAGACTTCCACTGCCTAGACCCTATCATTTGGACATTTTTGCTCCAGTTGTTACTGGCCTATATTTGCAGCAGAAAAATCTGTTCTAGATCATCTTGAGCAATGTATTCTATCTTTGCACTGCTGCTTCACATGTTTATTAGTATATACTTCTGTTCTATTATGACTGCATTTATGTAGAAAATGTTGCTTTCTTAAATATCTACTGTTGCTCACATTAGACAATTTAAAACTAGATATCTTTCTTTCCTGGAAATGACTGAATCATTCTATAATGAAAACAGTGAACTACTGTTTAAATCACTACGACTACATCTTGGCATTGCTGTGGTGTATAGCATTGAAACCTGGTTGTGGGAGCAGGGAGATAAGACCGTCAGTCCACAAAAACTAAAGGTAAATTCATAATCACCTGACTGAATTGCGCATATTTTAATTAAATCATGAATTTAAGATGTTTGAAATGTGCTTCTAGGGGCAAGAGAAACCCACCACAGATACTTATAAAGGGTTGCAGAACTTCAGTTGGTTTTCCAACCAATCAGTGCCCCTGACACCCCCAACTCTTATGATGTTGTCATCTGTCCTTTGTCATAGTGAGGGAACACAGACAGCTGAGACCATTTCCAGACCCTGTTCTCTTCTAAGTATGTTTAAAGAGTGGGATGGAATGGGATGGGATGATTCAGTTGGAAAGGATCTTCAGAGATCATAGATAGTCTAACTGTCTGATCTCTTTGGGACTAATAAAAAGTTAAAAGAAATTAATAAGGGCATTATCCAAATGCCTCTTGAACACTGGTAGGTGGGGCAACCATCTCACTAGGAAGCCTGTTCCTGTTCCAGTGTTTGATCACTCTCACAGCAAAGAAATTTTTCCTAATGTTCAGTCTGAAGCTGCTGTCGTGGTTTAACCTGGCTGGCAGCTAAACACCACACAGCCATTCACTCACCCTCCCCCCTCCCTCTCTGGGATGGGGGAGAGAAATGGGAAAGTGAAGCCCGTGACTTGAGATAAAGACCATTTATTAAGACAGGTAAATAATAATATCAACAATAATAATAATAACAATAATGATGATAATAGTACTACTACTAATAATGTGTACAAACAAGTGATGCACAATGCAATTGCTCACCACCCGCTGACTGATGCCCAGCCTAACCCCGAGCAGTCCGGCCCCCCTCCCCCAGCTAGCCACCCCTATATATCGTTTAGCATGACATCAGATGGTATGGAATACCCCTTTGGCTAGTTTGGGTCAGCTCTCCTGGGTCTGTCCCCTCCCAGCTTCTGCTGCACCCCCAGCCTGCCCGCTGGCAGGACAGAACAAGAAGCTGAGATGTCCTTGGCTTGGTATAAGCACTGCTCTGCAACAATTAAAACATCGGCGTGTTATCAGCACTCTTCTCATCCTAAGCCAAAACATAGCATTCTACCAGCTACTAGGAAGAAAATTAACTCTGTCCTAACAAAACCAGGACACCTGCCCTGGCACAGCTCTGTGTTGTCCCCTCGTGTTCTACTACCAGTTACCAGCAAGCAGAAACCGGCATCCCCCCCTCCAATTTGCCTCCTCAGGAAGTTGCAGAGAGCAAAGAGGCCACCTCTCAGTCTTCTCTTCTCCAGACTAAACAGCCCGAGTGTCCTCAGTATCTCCTCATAACATGTATTTCAAGATGTATTGCCAAAACAGAAAAATATCAATTGATTATATGCAGATTTTCCAAATACAGTTTTAAAAGTAATCAGGAAGAGTGTGTTTCTCAGTTTATATGAATTAAAAATTTCAGATTAAACTCTTAAAAATAATAATCATCTTTTCATCTTCATTTTCTGTAATCCTACAAACCTATGTCTCACTGAATTTAATAAATAAATAAATAAATAAATAAGATTGTCCAAGGGATTAAACTAATTCTCAGAGCAGCTATGGAAAGGTTTCTGCAGACCCCAGTGATTACTCAATTGACTGTAGAGTGTTTTGTTAAATAAAAAAATGTACTTGAGCATATGGCTGGATAGTTTGCTGATTCAGGTGCTTAGCAGTTGCTTTTGTTTAGTTCCTTATTCTCTTAAACAGCACAAACCACCTTCTTTGGTCTTTTCCCCTCATGGTTATGTTGTTACTTCTGAAGTTTTTATATTTTTTAGCTCATGTTTTTCTTTCTATTCCACTGGCTTGCAATTAATTTTCCTTTCACGCAGGATTTCCACTTTTTGATTCTCACATTCTGTACAGACATTTCCCTTCCACCTGGTTAAAACCTGTCCCATGTGCTCAAATTTGCTGATGGGACAGGATTTTTCCTGATTATTTAATTTTTTTTTTCCTCTCATAGGTCAGTTGTGTACTTTCCCAGTTTCAAATTACTGTCCTCAAATGAGTCTTTCCTTGTCCTTCAGAAATTCACAATTTTGTATGTTAGAAGCTAGGCAGAACAGTGCCTCAAACAAGGCACATATAGCACACATTTGTTGCTTCAACCTGAAAAACCACTCTTGTTTTAAAACATATTTTGGGACAATTTCTGTAGAAAACTTGATATCTGTTATGAGAGAGAAACTCAGATTCAGAGAGTGAGTTTCCATACTTCAGAGAAATTTGGTGTGCTTACTCAAACATTTTGAGTGAGAAAGGAGGCTTATTTCACCTGTGTGCAGTTTGTCATCTTCAACTAAAATTTCAGTTTTAATGGGCCAAAATATATGCTCTTCCATTACTTTGAAGATGCTTTCTGGACATCAGTAAAGAGAAAGAGGAAATTTTACAGAGAAGTTGATGAAAAGGCAAAGCAGTGGCAAGTCCTGATGACCTTCATTTACACAGACTGTACAGAACTTAATTGAAGTAAAGGGAACTGACATTGAAAGACCAAAGATTTGGGCAGCTATTAGAGCCACACCATGACTTTGTTTTTCAGCTCTTCTTTTAGCTCCTTTCCAACCATCTTAGATCTCACTATCTGATAAATGAGGGTCCTGTCTGCCAGTAATGACTTACTTTATTTGCACATATAATTAATATCTGCCATTATATTGCCTTATTTTTATGTGTGTTGATTTTTAAAGTGTGTTATTTAAAGAGCCAGCCACTTAAACCAATGTCAGTATAAGGTCAAACAGGAAGCACTGAGAAACCTGATGCTGGAATGAAGGTGTTTTTGAAAAGGAAAAATGAGATAAACAGCATCAATTAGATCTACATCTAACAACAAAACCTGTATCAGACATTAAATACTTTTTGTATCCAAATTATACTAATTTTTCCATATATATTTTTCCTGAGGTTTTTAAATGGTAAGCCTGCATGTGTGCATGTATTCCTACATAAAGAAAAAGTCTGTGCAAATGCCCACACAGACAGCACTTATGTAAACATCACTGATGTTTTTCTTCTTGTCACAAATGGATTTTGATTTTTGCCCTACCCAAAGGAGAAACTGCATATTTTCTCTTTAAACTATTGAAATAATTGATCTTTAAATCATGTATAATGTTATATCTTAGACTAGTCATGTATGAAAGTATTCTGACTCTGATTTTCTTGGTTTTGGAAGCACAATATGACTGCATATAAGACAACAATCTCTAAAGACCTTAAAGGGAAAACACCACTAAGCTCACACCGCTTACTCTGGTTTTGTCATTCTCATACATTAGGGCACCCCTCACAGCCTTCTTGGCAATATCTCCATCACAATAAGAATAAATTTAATATGTTATGTTTCCAGTTTTGTCTCAGAGTAAATAGCAAATGGAGTGTTTTTAAACCACTCCCTTGCTCAAATGTTCAAATCCAGAAAGGTGTCAGAATATTTGGAGCTTTGCTGAGATAACCCAACCTGTACCTCTCACAGCTTGCACAACAGTACAAAAGTTCATCTCCTCTCAGCAATTTGCATCCTTCAAAGTGAAAAGATCATGCTATGAGCTAAAAGTCTCCAGAAATGTTTGCATTCCAATGATCCTTTCTTCTAAACAGAAAGCTTATAGAAGTACTTCAATTACAGAAGAATCTGCATGTTTATAGAACTTTTATTTACTCGTTCTTAAGCCTTACAGTATCTATAATAGGAGTAGTAATTAGCAAAGTAATTTCAAAGCAACTTTGGACCAGCTGAAGAAGCTTAAAAAGCACATCCCTAAATTCAGGCGCGTTGAGAATCCCTCTGAAATTACTGACTAATTATGTACTTAAGTTTAGGATTATGTTTCCTGAATCAGCTCTGTCTGTGTAACATCACCATGATTTCCAAAGAGTGGGAAATAAAAAACAACTGTAATTTCAGAGGAGGGAGAAATAACTTGAATAATCAGATTCTTAACATAAAAGAAAGAGTAATCTTGCTTCCACATGAAAAAGTCCATAGGAGTAAGAACAAAGAGTATAAATCTTTTTTGTAAATATAAATTCATTCATGCTTTTTCAGTGTTCTTCATGAGGCATAAGAGACTCTAAGTGTAAAGTTGTTCCAGGAAAACAAACAAAACAAACAAAACAAACAAAACAAACAATCAAACACCACCAACAAAACACACACACAGAAAAAAAAAAAAAAAAAAAAGTTAAAAAACTCCAAACATTTCAAACCTGATTCTTATTCCATATTTTTCATCATTTCTTCATTTTCTTCCATATCAAGGCACCTGTATAACAAATTTTAAAAGACAACTTATGGAAGGTAGGATTTATAACGGAAATGACAAAATACATTAGCAGGCAACACTTTATGCAAATTTAAAATTTGAACCCAAAGTCTGTAAACAAAAAACATAAATCCCAATATCACATTAAAAGGCATGGATTGCAAGAAGAAGCCAATCAAAAAGCAATCATATATCAATTGTTTACAGCTTACCCAATAAAACCCTGAATAATGTTTAAGCAATGTCATCTGTTTGATCTATCCATTGCTAGAGCTTAAGCAGCCAAAACCACCACCATTACACAGTTACAAGGAATAATTATGTATATGGATAGATTACTACTTTGGAATTAATTTTCTCTCCATCTGGTGTGCATCTTATTTTGACCACAAATGAGGTACTATGCTAGGAAACTAATTAACAATTATTGTAAACAATACCAAAGAGAGCAATCTGATTGATCTACTGAGCACATTCTTTCCTTACTCTGCGGTGCAGCAGCAGCAAAGACCATGATGGGCAGGAGCATAGCAAAGTCCCTATAGACAGCAGGTGTATATTTTGGACTATTTTCATTTTCTTCTGATAGTAATAATAAAAAAACTTTTTTTTTTTTTGAATGTAAAACACATCAATATTTTACAGATATTTATTTAAAGATATTTAAATACTTTTTAAAGAAAAGTCATAACATCAGTATTTTGAAATCACTTTTCACTTTCTTATTCTGTCAAGCAACCTGTAAATAGCTTTTTAAAAAGGTTTGCAAGGCACAAAGGCTTCCAAGGGCACAATTTAAACTAAAATTGTGTCTTTAAGACAGATGTTTTCTTTTTGAGATCCTTAGGACAGGAACCTTCTATCTTCTGTGTCATGTACACAACATTAAGCTAGGAGCAGACAGCAATACTGCTTATATAAAAGACTGGAGGATTAGGATACAATGAAGTTAAATAAGGTCATACTATGAAAAAATTTGACAAAGTCTGAAATATTCCTTTTCAATTATCAATTACTTCAGAAAATCAAGACATTATAACAGGAGATAGTACTACAAGATATTAAGAAATTTGTGCCTTTAAAATATCTAAGTAATGGCACCAGTGATTGTATTTCATGTCCAGAGGGTCTGGATGGTCAGTGTTAGGTCATGGTGATCTGCATTTACAGTTTCCTAAAATGTGTTTATTATGCAGCTGCTGATGGCAACTCTATAATTCAGATAGATTTTTACAGTTAAAGCAGGAAATATATTTAAAAACAAACAAACAAACAAAACCTCTTCATATTTGGAAACATTATTTCTGGCATATACAGCTGTCTGAGACCATAGAAGCAACTTAGCTTATTTTCAAATTAAGAAGCAGGAATGAATTTGCACAGCAGCACTACAGGCCTAGTTAGCTTGGACTTCATGGGAAACATCTACACAGATAAACAGCTGAGGGCCTGAAAATGAAATTATGCCTTGGACCCTTGGTGTCCATATTGATTCACATTTATCTCTCTCCCTTGATCTTTTGGATTGTTTCAAGTAACTGAGAAAACTTAGGAGGAAGGTTCACACACAAAAAGAGCCAAAAGGCAGCATGGATTAGGCTACGTTAGTCCTGTCTTCTTTTGCATGCCCAGTGCTTCAGAACTACAGTCCAGAAGTTTCCGCATCCCCTAAAAATCCTCAGAGTATAACACGCTTACATGTCCTCTGGTGGGCTGGACAAACAGCCTTCACTTTATTACAGAAACACTAAAATGAGAAAAGCACACACACAAAAAGAAAATAAGGGCTACTCATTAGAGCCACAGGCACGCTACTTTGGATCAAGATGACCAAAGCCAACAGCTACACTGTGTGGAAAGGGACAGGATGCTGCAAAGAGCTGGTGTCCAGCAGTGAAAGCAGTGGTTAGAGTAACACAAGGAGAGATTGCACCAGCTCCTAACAGTGGCAGCAGAAGCAACATCCATCTGGGAGGCTGTTGAAGCTGCTGTGAAATCCAACACTCATGCTGGATATGAGCAGGTCCGCCTTCAAGTGGCTCTTAAGAGATTTGGTTTTCCAAGGTGGTGAACTTCTTCAAAACTCTTTTTATCACCCATGTTGGGACCCAATGCATTCATACGTGATGTCTTAAAAATGCTTTATAGGTAAATAAATCATTAAACAAAATGTACTATAAAGCCTGTGATTAAGAAGCTATATAAAAACAACCAAATATTAAGTCCTTCTATGAAAACTACTGTAAACCCACATACCTAGGATCCTCCAACAGAGCTTCAAGTCCAAATACTTCTGCCACTTCCTTAAAATCTATTTATTTCCAAAGAAGCATATGCTCATGCTGAATAGTACACATTCAGGATTTCCTGTTTTTCAGTACTGCATTTCCAAATGCTTTCTACAGATTTACAATTCCATCTCAGTTTCTCAACTCACATCCACATGTAACCCAATTCTCTTTTCTATTGTACTATTCATCATATTACAGACAAATCATTTAACCTCTGTGACCTTATCTACCATAGCAAATCGGTGGCCTGTGTAACTAGCACAAAGATGCACCTGTGTTCAACTGATAGCATAGAAAGAGCAACCACAATTCACAACATCTCATAAAAATTAGGTTTGTGTAAGAGAACATACTTTACAACTTGGTCACAAGCGAAAAGTAAGTGGAACTGAAATAGGCTATCAGATCAGGCCTTTGTTTTGAAGTGATTTATCTTCTCCTATGTTTTCTGGCTTACAGAACAGAAGTACTAGTGCTCTTCAATGACAGAGTGTCCGTGACTGAAAAGCCAGCCGGGTCCTGTTGGAAATCTTGGACTAAGACATTGCTCCAAGTTGTTTCAGAATGTCAAGCAGCAACAACAACAACAATAAAATACAGATGGATTTTATTTTCTTCCAAATTTTAAGTTTGGTTTACCAGTCTTATTTCTTTTAAATGGAATTGTTCCATGATTTCCAACATGGATTTCTTAAAAAATAGTTAGTGAACTGAGAAGTCCATCTTGCACAAAGATGCTGCAGATATAGTCCCAAAGACCAAATTGAAAATAAAGATATTGTTGACTGATGAAATGTAACTATCTCATTTTGCTCTAAAGTACTTGAAAATATCCCAATAAGTATAAAAATCTTGTGCATTTGATCTAAAAAATAATTATTACCATCAAATGGAAAAAGATAGAGGACTACATAATCTGATTTTTCTTTTATTACAAAGATCCCCAGTTCCTATCAGCTCTATGCTTTCCTCAGATCAGAAAAGAAAGCAAGAAAACCACCTAAATAAAAGTGCCCTATCCCAAACAGGATAAGAAACTTATTAAAGAAATACCAACAACAACAACAAAAAGAACAAAAGAAAAAAAAAAAAAGTGAAGTTCTCATTTATTGCTTTGCTTCCACAAGTTACCAGAAGAATTTTAAGGCTGGAGGTATTTCTTAACCTAAAATCATAGCACATTCCAATACTGTTCTGCTAATTAAATAAAACACTGTGTATTTACTTTTATGAAATACCTGAAATATCTGCTTTATTTGAATATATTCTCAGCAGGACCAATCATAGCTAAAAATAAGGAATTTCACATTGTCTTTTAGTACTTAAATATATTACGGTAATATATACTAAGCAGGGAAAAAGTAATAATAATAATACAACAAAAAACTACTTGCCACTTTGTCTAGCTTAATTATCAAGCTTAGCTGTTTTTCACTGACTTTATTCTGTCTAACCCAGTGAGGTAATCTTAGCTTGCATGTTATAAATCATTGGTAAGATTAACAACAATACATATTAAGATGATCTATGTTTTATTGCTGCTCAGCTGAACGTCAGCTAAAGTAATTATGGCTATGAAGCTATATTTATTTTTCCATAATGTGATCCTTTAAGTCACACACATTTGTAATGAGGAATATCCACTTCAATCTCTTTCAAGAGTAGTTTTTAACTGCATTACATCATTTAATATGGGGTTGAAAGTTCATTACCCAACACACAAATCTTTTACTCCAAAAATTCAGTAACTTTAAGAGGATCTAGGGAAAAGTTAGAATTATCAGCACTGCAGAAAGTAACTATATATAAAAGTGTGTCTTGGGGACTGAAAGGCTGCAGGAGATGGCAATGGAATTTAGGACCTTCTACCTCTAAGTCACTCTTTTCATTATGTATTCCATGAGTAATAATTGAGAGTTGTTACTACAAACTAGTTGGTATTAGCTCCATGGCTGGAATCCAGATACTCATGGATGAAGCCCAGATTTTTTAAAAAATCATTGTATAGTGGGAATTCTTACTGGCAGTTGCAGCAGAAACGTTAAGATCTGGCAATGCAGAGAAATTGTTCTGTACTCTGAGGTGGAGAAGTCCTTTCAAAAGAGGTGTAAGTCATATAAAACGTGTGATAGTTCATGCAATTTAGGTCTGAATAGGCAAGAAGATATTCAATACCACATAACAAAATTTGCCAGAAATGCTCTATGTTTGTTGGGACTGGAGCTCTGAGAAATAAATATTCAGGGCAAATTGCATTAGCTAAGTGAGATAGCTAATGCTGTGTGACAAAGTACATTACTGCTGTTCAGCCCAGTCTTACATAACATTCATTTAATGAGGTGCAAGAAATAGAAAATACTTTAATGAGATATGCAGCTGGTGCTAAATTGGAGGGAGATGCAATAATAAAAAGATCTTTGGGAATACAAATGAAAAATAACAAACTGAAATTCAAGTAGAAAACAAAGTATGAACTTCAAGTAGAAAACAAAGTATGAGTTGCTCACCATTTGCACAAATGTGGACAAAACACCTCTTTGCATGGGATGTGCTCACGATACCCATACAGGGGAGAGCTTTGGGAGGAATGACTGAGGTCAAACAGGTGAAGTTCTTAAGTAACAATTTCAACTGTAACCAGCCCCAGCAGAAAGAGATGACAATCCATCACTGTAATCCTGAATGATTCTCCAATAAGATAACCTATCTGGAAAGACCTAAGTATGATAGATCACGTAAGAAATGGATGGCTAAGGATGAGAATGGAATGGATGTAAGACCTGTCTAAAGGAATTAGCATCAGGTGATTTTGTCCTACTGAACACAACGCAGCATCACAAATAGGCTGAAGAGACAGAAATATCTCTCAAGCTGTTCTAGTCTGTCAGTTGGATCTGTCAATCTAGGACAGAATGTAAGTAGAAAAATCCAGTGAAACCTCGTAGGCACTATGACACAGGAGGCAGAGTCCAAAGAAGCTGTAAAACTCAGCAGAAACTGAGGAAGTTCTCAGTTAAAGAACTTCTCTGGTTCCTCTGACCAGCTAGGCCACAGAAATGTGGGAACCACAGTCAGAAACATATAGGACCAGTGTTTCTCTTCTGTCTGGATTTACAGAATGTTCATACCCTTACCTCCCTCCTTTTTTTTTTTTTTTTTTTTTTTTTTACATACAGGAAGATGCTCATAAAGAGGAAGAAAGAATAACCTGGTCTATCTGAAATTAGTGATGCCTTGAGCTAGATGTTCATCTGGAGGACCTTCAGAGATATATGCAAAATTGAAATATTCTCTGATTCTGCCATACCATACACTGTAACTGAATATAACTATGAAATTTGTGCTTCATGTTTATTAATCTGTTTTGAACTGAATTTTAGAGAATTGTGATTGAATGTTGACATTTTGCAAATGAGCTGTTGCGGGGTACTCGTGTAGTAAGCTCGGATTTATTGAAACGTGGTTATTACTGAGGTTACCGATAACCTTATTAGAACTTTTTTTTACCCAATTTTAATAATCATATTCTAACCCCACCTCACCTTAACTTTTTGTTTCCTGCAATTTTCAAAACAGGTTATTATCCTTTAGAGATAAAAAGTAAATGAGAATTAATACATACTACTAATCTTGGTGTACAGTCATTCAAATATTTAGTTAAAGTATCGTTACAGACAGTAACTGAATTAAAAGAATATTATGTGCTCTAATCTTATGTTCTTGTAAAGTATTCAGCACTGATTCCAGAAAAGAGCTTGTGTAACTACTGTTTTACTTTAGAACATAAACTGAAGAAAACAGAAGTACCCAATTAGGTTTTTTTGTTTGTTTGTTTTATATGTCCATGGGAAGATGAGTGGCATGCAGAATTGTTTCATAATTTAAATATAAGTGGAGTTACTCAACATAGTTATGGCTTATCTACTCCCAGACTTCTATATTTCAAAAGTAAGTGTTTGTTAGATGCACTGTATGCAAAATGAGAAGTGGAGTTGTTCCCATAATCTTACAGTCTCTTTCGTTAAGATTGACTGTCAGTTTTATTCCTGACAATGAATAATTAATTTGTACAGTGTTTTAATAAATAATTTGTCAACTTTCATGTTAAAAAATGGAATCAAGAAGTGTTTCACTACTGAGACAGTATGCTGCTCTGTCATTTGCACTGAAACAGTTATAGAAAAAATTTAAGCATATCTAAAATAAGCCAAGTTGAAGATATTTTAATGTATTAATGTCAAGGATTCTGATCTTCATGGGTTGTTTCTGACAATTTCTAGCTCTCCAGTAAACTGTCATTCAGTTTACAAGATTAATCTAGTACAGCAAATAAGGATTAACTGTCTGATTAAAATATGTGAACTATTTATCAGAAGCACCAGCGGACTATGTGCTCCTAAATTATTGTAAAGGAAGAGCTTCAACTTCACATACTTCTTGGAGCATGTATTTACTCCTTTATGCTTTTACTTCACAAAGAATCTGTCTATTTCTTTAAGCTTACATTTCTTCAACTCTCTTTTTCATCTGTAAAACAGTTCATGTAAACTGAAGCAGCAAAATTGCTTAGTTATCGATATTAGATGCTGCAAGCATTTTTAGTTGAAGTAAAGGGAAGTTCTTAGGTTAAGGAAATCATACTGTGAGATTATCCACTGCTTTAGAAAAAGCCCATCAGTATCATTCTGAAAGAACAGGTTTGTCTTCTTAAGATTAGTAATGAGATAATTCAAATATTCCTTTATATGACTAGTCATATAACTAAACCCAACTATTTGAATTATTTTGAAATGCAAAACATTTTAAGAAACTCCAGATTATCAACTTTATTGATGTAGTTCTCTGCTATTTCTTCTGGTGGTGTTCACTGTCATGATTAACAGGAATGTACCCACAAACAAAGCAGAACAGGGTAGGCAACAGTATGGAGGTTGTTTTATTCACCATTCTAAAGGTGCATTTTGCTTCACTTAATGTACTGGTGTGAATAACAGATTATTTTTCTGAAAATTATTGTTTTAAATGAAATCAAAGATCTTGCATTAGTCAATGCTTTGTGAGAAACAATAAATTCTGAGAGATGGGCAAGTGGCTTTATAGATCTTTGCTGTTTCTTTTAAAATTGAATCATAGGAAATACTCTGGGAAATACTTTGTGTTTAATATTCCATCCTAGTTATGCCCTTCCTATTTAAGATGATAGCTTTCATTCACTAAACCAACTTTTAGTCCACAAAATGTATTTTTTATATGCACAATAAATTCTATATATATAAAAAAATAAGCTAACAGATCTTTTTACAGTGTACAGTATAGTGTTGTTGTTTCTTTTCCCATCACTAAAATGCATGTTTGAAGACAGTCATTGAAGAGATATCTTAATAGTGACCTGATCTGAAAAATGTTACACACTGTTGCAGATGAAATTTGTAAAAACTAGCTCAAGACTTATATCAGGTAATGTCTGTAATAAGTCTGGGGAAGCCCAGTCTTTGAAGGCAACAGCTTAGTTTGCCCATCTGACAACATTTAATGTTACATGCATCACTGCAATTTTTTTTTATACATTGTGAGGAATCAGCTAGGATAAAAGACCTCTACTGAGGTAATTTCACCTGTTGTACAAATACACTACCTTGTGTATTCTTTTCAAAATATGTAAATAAATTTTGCAGGAAAAGACACGTATAAGGGATTAAAGGGAGATTTTATTATAAAATGTATTTACTAAGCAATAGTTTTCAAATTTAGCCTACTCTGTCTTATTATTACATTAAAGAAGTTAAGCCACAAACTGGGTAAATAATTTAAAAGTGATGCCTATCTTCATGAGTTAATGCAGTGAGTGTCCAGAGGACAGAGATGGAAACAATTAGAAGGAATGACTAGAAATCATGACATACAGGGAAGAGAAGAGTGCCTTCATTTTATTTTTTTTTTCATCAGAAAGAACAGAACAGGTTTTCTGATCAGTTTCTGAGTAGTTGTAAAGGGGGCAACTGCTACCAGCGTTTTCCTTAAGTACTAAAAAAAAAAGAAAACTTTGTATATTATCTGTGAGAAATGGTCTTTGGGAGCATGATCCTGCTTAGAAGGGGTAGATGTGGGTCTGTTGAAGTCTATTCCAGCTTTGTAGCAATCTGATTTTGATTATTCTTTTTGAGTGCTAGTAATTTTACAGCATCCAGGATTTAAAAAATACAGTGGGATCCTCTTTGGGAAACAAATAAATTAAAGAAAAACAACAACAACAACAAAAATACCCTTATCTGAAAATTAAATCTTAGCATCTTTCCAGTAAGCAAAAAAATATATATCACAAACCACAGTAAGTCAAAGACAGGTACATGCAGAGAAATAATATCTGTAGATACTATAATATACTACAATACTACAATAATATCTGTAGATACTACAACTCTCAGATAAATTGTAGAGCAGAAAAAAATATATATAAAATTGGAAACAATAAAAAAGGAGTAAAATCTTCATATTTTAATTTATATTAACCACTAAAAGCTTTTAGCTTGATTAAAAATGCATTAAAGTGTAGTTGACTGTGCAATACTCTGACAAAATCACATCCATATTTTAAATTTTCCTACTTTATTAGATGGTCATCATGTGTTCCTGAGTAACAGTAGCAAATATTGATTGTTAAAACACAGTCAGAATGAAAGCAGCATAATTTCGTCCTGTTTTGTATAGAAGACATAGAGTGAACTGGGAAACCTCTGTAAGGGAATGATAGTTTAGAATGTGCTTAGATTAGGGGATTGGTACTAGATGATCCTTCAGGTTCCTTCCAACCCAAACCATTCTGTGATTTGCCATTCTTTTTGGAATCATGGCAAATGAAGCAAATGGAAGACCTTAACTGCTATATAGAAAATCCAGCAAAACAATTGTGAATTGCTCAAAGGAGAAAAATGACATTGGAAAAAATATGTTTGACCTTATTTAAATAATACATTTTCAATTACTAAAATGCTCTCTGGGAAAATCTTTTTATGTCTGAAAGATAACATCCAGGTTTTGCTGACCTTTACATTTCTTGGCATGCCCTTTTAATCACACTTTAATTTCCTACTTTATCTGCATTTTTCAAGTGTTTTTGTCTAGGAAGCTTTGGTCTTGAACAATCAACACAACGTATTTTTGAGTCCAGCCTCTGGTAAGTGTAATTATAAATGTTCTCAAATATTGCATCAGGAACACAGAGAAGTCTGTGTCCTGGAAAGCAATTAGCAAGGAGATGCTCAGATCTCTTGTCAGACATCAAAATCCTGATACTTTGAATTTCCGTCATTGGCATGATGATAAACAGAAATAGGTTTCTGTTTATGAGTGTGATGCAGTGCCTGAGAAGTCATGCATGAAGTCAACTTACCCGTGATGGACCTTAACTTGAGGGCCTGCAACCAAGAAACCTCTTCTTAAAAGCTCTTCCAATGGCTTTTACAGGCTCTTCCAGCTGTTTTTAAAGGCTTCGCATACCTTCTCTTCTACATCGGTTGGTGTGTTGAAGGCACCCTGGTGTTTCTGACCCACAAGCTATGGACAGAGGAGTCACCGATCCCACAGCAGAGTACATCAGAGCTGCTCTCTCATAGAGCAGAAGCCTCATCTCCTCACCTTCCCAGCCTGCCCTCCCTGGACAGCCCACATCGAGCCAACACAAAACTCCAGTTGCACAACCAGTAGGTTTCTTTGTAACGATGCCTTAGATCTGCAATGGTCCACAGACCTCCAGCTTCAGGGGAAAAACTCAGTAGCTAAGACATTTTTCCAGAGGACCTATCATGTGAAGAATTCGCTTTCTCTTAAATAAAAAATAAAAAATTGCACCCCTACTGTTACACGCAGCATCAAGGCTATTTCAGTGAAGATGTTAGGATCTAAAAGCTGTCTAAATAGAAAGAGACCCTTATCACAATTTTTGTTACATGTCCTTGCACTAGAGGGGAGAAGATCATTTGTTATGTCGGGGAAAGCTATCATTCCTTTAGAAATAACAGCATCTGCAAAAACTGGGTACGCTGTCAGAGGCATGGCATCCAATTTCTTCTTTATTAAAATAAACAAAGTTTTTCTTTGACACAACTAAAACAGAAAAACTAAAATTTAAAGTTTTGGAATAACAGGTAGGTCGTTTTCCTTGAGAACCCTTTTGTTATTGGCTTTTCCTTATGAACCCTTTCATTATTGTTTTTACCGAATAGCTCGGTTTCTCAAGTTGGGTTTAAAACATCCTTTTATTAAATTCTCCAACTTCTTGTCAGTATATTGTTATTTTTCATTTTATTAAGAAAAATATGAGCTATAAAAAGCAGTAAATCCTGTAAACCTCTGCTTTTGTTTCTTTCCCCTTCTGAAGAAATTTTTTAAGCATAAGAACAGATCCTGTGGAGGAACACACAATCTCACTTGTGCAGACAATGTTTTGTTTCTGTAATGCATGCTACTGGCTTAATTTGACATCTCTGTACTTAGCTAACTTTATAGCTAACCTAGCCTTCATGTTGGTATTCTTTGCCAGGTTATTATTGTGTATTTCACATAGGCATCCCTAGTTACCAACAACCTTCTCTATTCTGCTTTTGGTGTTTTGTGCTCCAACTTTCTGCATACAGGTAAGAGAAAAATGCTTCTTTGGTAGATGTGCCACCCTTTGTCCCTCACTACTTCCAAATTCAGTGGAGCCTTAATAAGATTTAACAACAAACTGTTGACTTTCTGTACCACTGAGGTCTCATTTGGACTTTGATTTTTATAGGATATGTATGTGTAAGAGGAAATACTATTAGTTTAAAATCATCACAGCCTTAGTTTCATCAGAATGATTTTCAAGTACCTTCCAGAATGCAATTCCTAGAGTGAATTTTCAGGACTTAACAATCATTAAATATGTACATATGAACATGTGTGTGAATATATATATATACAAAATGTTTTTGAAAAAAACATTATTCTCTAAAAGAAACAAAAAAATCCTTTAAAACATAAAACAGCATTACTCACATCTGAGAAGCCCCTAAGTTTGTTTCTGAACAAACACAACATCTTCAGACTCTTCATAAATCTAATCTCTTCAGATGTCAAGACAAAACATTTACAGGACAGATAAAGTTCAGGGAGCCTTTGCAGAAAATCTGTCTCCCTGGAAATATATATTTTTTAATTTTTGTTTCTATTTAAGGCTATGCACTCCATTTTTTTCTAATTTTTAAAGAGGATAAAGAGGATAAAGCTTTTCAGTCAACACCTTTATGTGTTTAATTAGGAACATAGAGATTATGTCAGTTTATTTGCAATTTTACTGATTTGTGTGTCTGTATATGTGTGAACAGTTCGTTTTATGATATACCTGGTTTTAACATATGGAGGCAACTGATAAGGACTTTAATTCTATTTGAAAGTACACATACCATATGCCTCTGGTGATTAATCATAACCCATCTGCTGCTTTTATTAGTTTCTCAAAACAAAGGAATTGGTGGGTTAGTGTTCTTCCTAGAGCCAAAGAAAGCAGAAAAAAATGCTTTTTATGTTGCAGGTCTTATTTTTATGTCTGCTCAGCTGCTTACATAGATTAAGTAATCAACACAGGCTGCTTGTCATTAATAAATACATCACAGGAGAGCAGCTGGGAGATAAAGGGCAGCTTGTGTCTGAGAGCTAAAAACAAAAAAGTTGTACTTGCAACAGTTTCATGGCTTATGAAAGATGATGGCCCGAAGTGCTCCTTTTAGACTAACCAGATGATGCAGATGGGACTTCCTGACACGCTCTCACCACAGCCTTCAGGGCATCCCTTGGGCATTCAGCATCATTCCTCTTGCACAAAGGCTGTTGCACCCCTGAAGATGCCACTTGTCCTACAAACCTGACTGGGATGTCCTGGAACACACACCACAACGTAGCCCCCACACTGTCTATGAAAGAGCCTATCTCTGCTTACTCAACCTTCACATCAGTGAATTCACGAGCCACAAGGTGACCAGAGCTGGCCAAGGAGGAAGGTTGGAGAGCTTGGCAAAATGCGTGGGGCCAATACCAACCACATGAGGCAGCGTCCCTGCTGCCAGCACAGATAGCTATGATTCTCACCTTTGCAATTCATAAAAACATTACACTGAGGCAAAACATAGCAGCTGGAGGGCCAGCATCCCACCCTGTCAGATCTGTCCCATCACACTGCTGCTAGCACTTCTTAGTCCATGAGGCAGAGTAGAACCAGAGGTGATGTGCTGTGCATATACCTGAAATTTCAGCCTTACGTTTTTTTAATGTGCCCTGTCACAACTCCTGTTAAACTGCTTGTGAAAAAGGGAAGGTAAGAACCAAGCATGGACAGGAGGTGAGACCTATCTCCAGTGAAATTTTTGCCCCAAAGCAAGTTGTTATGAAACAAATTCCCCTCTTCCCAGTGTTTTAAATCTGGGACAATATTTTAATATATGCAAACACAACAGATTATGAAAATTGTACGTGTATCCACAAGGAACATAAATGCTTTATTGTACTTCTTATTATATATTTACTAAAATTTTTTTTAAAAAATCTTGAAAGTAATGAAAGATTTAAATAATTTATGGCAAAAGGTGAGCATTCCTGCTCTCCCTCCTGCCCCCACCCGATACACTTCCTAGGGCTTTCCCACACTCCCAGAGGCAAAGTAAAGCCAACACGCTGGACAGCTTTTGCTTTCAGGTAGAGTTGCTTGGTAGGAAAATACTGTATTAATTTGCATCAACAGAAATACCTAATCTCTGTATTTAGCTCTTGTTTATGTAAGTAATACAGTATTCAAAAGTAATATAGAATTATTATGACCTTCTGTTGTTCTTTAAAAATGAAAATCTCATACTAAAAACCAAGATTCGTGATTTTAGACTTTTTGTTGCTGGTAAGTATTCACAAAGACCATGGTTTCTGTACTAGCTGTCTGTGCTATCACATCAGATGTGAAATTGGTTTAACATTCCAATGGAAATCCATATTAGGCAATTGTAATGCTGTAAAAAGAATCTTTCAGAGAGAGCTCAAAGCCTACCAGGAGCCACATTCATGCAACAGAGCCAGACTAATCCATTTTCTCTCCTATCTACTTGTTGTTCTCAACATTAATTCCAGTGACCAGATATGAAAGATGAGTACACTTACAAGAGAAAATGATTCTACACAGACTAAATTCTATACAGAACCTAAAAGTTTTTCCTCCCAAGCATTGACATAATAAAACATCACCCACAATTGCACTAGCTCCTTACAAAGCAAATAAAAATGCGAATAAAAGGTCCCCAACCAGCACAAATACAAGCAGTTTCAGGGAGAAAAAAAAAAAATAAAAAAGTGATAACCAAAAGCTAAAACATGTAGAATTCCAGCAAGAGGTAATTGAGAACATACACTTAATCCATGTCAATAGCACTGCAAATGAAAACAGATCCACTGCGAACAGGATTCTTCAGAAAGGACCTTTATGCGGTTCTTCCTTCATATGACACCATACGAAAGGCAAATCTTTTGCCTGTTTATTTTGAAAGATATCTGTTTTATTGGAACTTATATAAAGAACTTGACCTGGACGTCTCCATAAAACTCTAATATTTATATCAAATACACATACTCAGATTCTGGTTAGTGTTCTGATCATGCCTTCACCTGCTGAGCTTCTAAAGCCTTTCCTTGTACATGTATACCAGTAGCAGGCTGCTGTGGTTGAAATCAACAGGGTCTTATAAAGTCTGACTGCTTTTCATCAGGAAAGGATGGGTCTCTGCCACTTTGTCTTACTAAGAGAAAATAAATGTCAGACACTGTACACATGGTCTCCCTGTTTAGCTATAAGAGCAGTGGAATGCTTTCTTTACATATACCAGTTTACAACAGATTTCTAGCTGCTTGTACTTTTTGTTATTAACCTAACTTTATTCAAGATTCTATTTATTCATTTCAATTAACTGAAAATTTTACACATGCTTATGCGTCTATCCCCTACCATTTAGATCAATGCATGTCGTATTTTAACATGAACTCCCCTCTCGGATCAACACAAATAGAGCAGTAGGTACTGTCGTCATGATTTCTTGTTTTTCCCTTTCTTCACAGAAGGCTTGGACCAAAGGATGGACTTCTAAAAAACACTTATTTAGCCTGTGCACATAGTGAGACTTCTAAAGTGCCAGAATAACATTGCACTTTAACCATTAAAAAGCTGGCTATGGGTTACACATATGACAGAAGACTAAGAACCACTCATCTGTAGCAGACACTTCTGGACAACAACAACCTATTCAGACACAATAGGGTGATTTTTTTTTTATTAGAAATAACTGGAGTCCCCATTTCCCTCTGTGCCCCAGCAGTGAGTGGGCTGGGGGTGGACAAGAGGCTGGGACACAGGCAGGACAGGTGACCCAGACTGACCTGAGGGGTATTCCTACCACTTAACATCATGCTCAGTGACAAAACCTGAGCAAGGAGGCAGAGGCAAGGAAAACAGTGGGTTTTGTTCTTTTTTTTGTTGTTTGTTTTTGACTTGGAGAAGGGCTGGGGAAGTGGCTAGAGATAGCCTTTGCATTGCATGGATTTTCCTCCTCTGTATTTCAACCTACACGTTTTCTTGTTTTTGTTCTTTATATTCTTTTCCCTGCCCTGAGGACAGGTGGTACAAACTGTCTTAGGGTCAGCCCACCACAGTCTGGGCTGCGTAATGTAGCCTCCTGCTCTCAGCCAAGTCTCCAAACCAGGTTAAGGAGACACCTGGATCGAGTCCCCACCCTCACCATCACACTGACTAATTTATTAATCCCATTACATTGAGATGCTATCTCCAGCTTGACTGCCAGTGGAAACATGCTCAAATATCACTCCACAGACCTAAGATTTCATGGCCAACAACTGTGATAAAGTGAAGAACTTCTTGCTGAAAGCAATTAAGAATACAATGCTTCAAAAGCTGTGTCCATGAAATGACAGTATTATGCAGTTAGTTAAAAGTGACCACAACAAGATTCGCCACAAATAAACCAATTTATTACTTTTTGGCAAGTTCCATACAACATGAGCAAGGATCTTTCGCTCACTATATTATAACACTCTTTTGCTTTATACAGATTGTAAACAAACTGTTGGTACAGGCATTCCATGATTCTGGTATCTTTCTCTTTCAGGTAAAGAAACAAGAATGAAAATCCAATAAACCAAACTTCTTTCACAAGTTATCTATGAAAAGCAGCATATGCATTTCGTATCAATTTTGAGCAATACCAAGAAGGGTATTGCAAACTATTATTTTTAGTGAAATTCAGTGGTATTATGAATAGACACACCTTTTACACACTTTGAAATTAGATTCACGGTTTCATATTGCCAGTGGACAGAAGCTCCGTCGCATTCAGCAAGGGCCGCCCGAGTCTCCAGTTTCTTCTTTTGATTACATTCCACCCAAACCCAAGACCCGCTGGCAAAAAGTAACAAAACCCTTTGCACCAACCCCAGGAATGGATGTAGAAGAGATTTTTTTCTGACTGCGGAGCCTGGAGAGAAGGAGGATGCAGAATGGGTTCCAATAAAAGCAGTCAAAGGAGGAAAAATAGCATCATGGGGTGGTCCTGCAAGGGCCGATGTGGAAACAAACTGTGGCTGCAGAAGGCACAAGGTGGGCTGCACTGGAGGCTGTAACCGTGACCCAACAAAATGCAGAAATAGAGACCCCGGCTTTCTGAATGCCACGGTGTGTGAGGACCAAACAAGGGCCTCTGAAGGTTCCTTCAAACTAGAAGACCCTACTGAAGTGACTGCAGGAGAGAACTGACAATTCACAGGTTCTCATTATTGAACCAGCTCCTGTCCACCCACTACACTTCTGCTATAAATAGCTATTTTTTATTTTTCTCTCTCAAAGTGCTTTAAATTAGACATAATCTGATCCATAAAGTGAACACTTACCTCTTTGAGTAAGAGCAGATTTACTTTTTAGAATTTGTAAGTCCCAAAAGGTCAATCCACTGGCTAGATTCACCGAAGAATTACAAAATATGCACTGTTAGCTCAAGCTTCAATCCAGGGCATACCTGTTTAAGTTTGCTAAAAACTGCTTTTCTCCACACTAACTTATTAGCATTAAAATAACACAGACATTTATGATGTTATTGGCAAAGAGTTTAAAAAAATCTATTGTTAAAAGCAATGATTGCATTATAGTAATGCTGCTAATTTTGAAGTCATAATTATAGCAACCTCAATACAGAAATCTTCATTTCCAATGTAAAAAGACAAGCCATATTTTTAAAAAAAACAAACACCCTTCAAGTCTTCTCTGTGCATAATAAGCAGCAATGAAAATGAAATTAATTCTTTTGTAGATTCTTTTATGCCTTTAAAGTTACTGGCATAAAACAAAGTGGTTATTTTTATCCCTGTATGTAACCGGCTGTTTTAAGCTTTATAAAATACTGCTTTTTAGGTGACACTTAAATCAGCAGATCCATAAATGATGAGTTACGACAAATTTCACTACCTGAACTGAAGAAATTGAGAAGCTTTCTGGTTTTAAGATTTCTGTGTTATCAAAATGCACAGATGAAGATTAAGGATGAACTCACATCAATGCTACGATGTACATAAACAGTAATCCTCTTCCAAACAGATTTAGTAGTTGGAAGAGCATCAAGTGTTCCTACTGCCAGCTGCAAAACACAGGTGAATCCCTCAAACTTTGGCAAAAACTTAAATAGGCATCCATAAAATTGTATGACTGTTTGCAATTCCTTCAACCAAGCAAGAGATTCTACTATTGAATTTCCCTCCAGCTCTTCCCTGCCCAAATAAAGGAGCAGATCCCTATTATAGTATTAAAGCTATATCCTGTTGAAACTAAAGAAACACTGCAAAGTCTGTCAACTTTTTTCAAGTCCTCAACTCTTCCATGATCATGAAAATCTGACAGAAATAATGTGACAGGAACCTTCAGGTAACCTTAATTCTTCAGTAGACTGGAGATTAATCAAAACATTTACTGCTGAGTATTTTCACTGTGGCATGGGATAAAGCTCTATTAAAACAAAAAGTTTTAATCTATACAGCCAGCATTTTAGAGATTTTCTAAATATGATTAATACCAACAAGTTCAAAATACTGTTGCATTGTTTGCATTTTTTGTTTGTTTCAAACCAAGAACTTTTTCTGATTCACAGTAAAACCCTGGTACCTCTTTTTTTTTTTTTAAATTGTTAATCCATTCCAGGTAGTTTTACTTCACAGTCTCTCTGAGAATTGTTTGGAGCCCAGCGTATCAAGATGCAACTGTTATCCACGTGGATTTTTTTTTTTAATGTTAGCTGCCATTTTCTGTAGCAGTGTCTGTTAGAAGTTTTACAGAATTATAATGTTCTCCTAATCCATAGGCATGTCTCATATACCTAAAAAAAGTTAGAAAACAACTGCTTAGTTTAGCTAAAATATACTGCATGACAAACATCAAGAGCACTCGAAGACAGCTTAAATAAATTCAAGTTTTAGCAAAAGTTCTTAGAAAAAATACGTGGTCATAAAAAAAAAGACTGAATATAAATATATAAAATATAAATATATACGGTCAACAAGGAGTTTCTAATTTTGGTGACTTCCAGACATAAATTGACATAAGCTTTGAATAAAAGTTTCCTGATGCATTTTTTTAAATCAATTTCACAATGATTTTGGAATTAACAGGTAAATAACTTTGCAGCATTCTATAAAGTAGTGACTGAATCATGCTTCAGACTCATTGTCAGCATTTTAAGAATGTTAATCTTAATATCTTCAAAGTTATTGTAGATCACAACTACCATTTCTGAAAAAAATTACCATTGGTCTTGAAGGTCAATGTCAGGCGGATAAATGAAAATGAAACAAAACAGATGAGAATCAAAGGTGAGTTCTCTCATACAGAAATAAATGCAGTGATTTTAAAAATGGGTAAAATGACACACTTACACAAGTGTTATTGGTTTGCCTGAATATTCTTCACCAACGATAATGGAAGGGGAATCCATTTGCACTACTTCAATAGGTGTTTGCAAAATGTGTGACAAAGCCCTTAGCTGTAAGGCATAAAAAGAATTCAACAACAGGATTAAATCCAACATGGTTAGGGGGGAAGAAGACATGATAGTTAGCTTTAGCAAATATAAGTTTAGGCGTAACACTTCAAATTTTGTTTTGAAATTAAACTCTGTTAAAATAAGCAAAATAGCTTCAACTTTTTGAGCTGTAATTTAAAATAAGTTGCCTTAAGGTAAAGAGTTTTGATGATAAAAACAGGTAACATTGTGCTAGCTTTAATAATTTAATAACTACTGTTTTAGAAAGCAGTAAAAGATAAAAAGCAAAGACATAAACGAAAACAAACATAAGATGCTTTCCCTTTAAGAAATATTGTTCCCCCTCACCTTTTGTCATTCTTTCTAGTGATATTTTGGACAATCAAATTCTTTAGCTGCTATCATCAAATTTATCAGGACAGCAGGGGACCATCAGAAATCTACTGACATTGGGAAACTATTTATAGCTATAGGAGAAAATTCTTGATAAAATTATGAATGTGCTTCCTTATGCCTACAGGCATATTATTTCTTCATAAATCCTTTTTTGAAGATATACTGATAATTTGTGAAATTGTGAGACAATTTCAAGTGAATACTTACTTCCAGTTGACCACCCCACGCAGCCGTATTTGCTATATCATCACAGTATTTTTCAAATTCCTCTGTGGAGAAAGGAAAAGTCAGCTTTCAGTAGTTCTCTCTAAACAAGCAAAGAGCAAGCAAGTGAAGAAAAATACTGATCCTAAAGTGAAAAACTAGAACCAGAAAAGGAAAAGGAAAATATATTTGCTCACTGAAGAGAAGGAATAATATTTGCTAGATTTCTTTAATAAAATAAAATTATGACTTGGGTGTACCAAGTAACAAAGTAAATCTTCTGTGTTCTGTAGAACACAGCAGAACCAACAAATTAATAAAGTTCAGGAACAAACATATCATTATGAAGAAGAAGAATTATAAAACAAAGTTTTCTAAAGTCTCTTATGACACAATTCTTACCTCTGCTATACATGTCTCCAGTAGTGGGATTTGTAAGAAATGGCAGGAAGTCATCAAAATGGCTTTGCATATACTTTGCCGTTTGGTTTCTCAGAGTTGTAACAGTCCAGGAATTCTGGCGATCCTTGAGCTGATCTTCGATAGCTCTGTACATGCAATGGCCATCAGAAGGAATCTGCTTAATCTCCAAGTGTCTTGCTGCCAACAGGGAGGCAAGTTTCTGACTTTCAACATGTCTAGCACCTGTTAAATTCTCAATCTCAGCTTCAGCTATCCTTTCTTCTCTTTCTTTCTCCAAGGCAGCTTTCTTTTCCTTAGATTGAAAACACATCAAATATTAAGATGTCTGTACAGTTCTTGTCTTAGTACTTGTCTCTAACTCTTCAAATGTTTCCTCAGTACATTCATGTTTGTGAAATGCTCTCCTGAATTAGTAATACTAAGTCTCAGAAACCTTCCAAAAACCTAAACACTAACAAATGCTAGATGACCAATACATCCTAAAACTCAAATATTTACAAGAACTTCAGAAGTAAGCTTCTTTTATTAAATCTGTAAAGTTCTACCACTTCAACTTTTCCCCACGCAGTATCCTACATATTTTTCATAAGAATTTCACTAAAATACTAATAAAGAAATAAAATAATTTGGTTTAGATATTTTTCTTGTCTCCTATGTCTTTTTCTTTTATCTCCTATTTTGATTCCCAATTCATGGTTAAGCATAAAAAAGTGGATCTTTAAAAAAAATACTTATGTATTTCTATGTAGCAACCCTACAGATTTTGAAGACACATAGGAGGTACAAAATTAATACTGAGTTAGCCAGGTAAGGTCTCCTGTAAAATCGTTAAACTTCAGTTATATTCATTTAAACTGAAACATATCTGTAAAATGTTTAAACACTACATACCCTCCTCTTCTGTGCTTTTGATATTCGAGGTTGCTGAATCTGTTGCTCTTGTTGCTCAAGCTCTACATTTGCAACCCCATCAGTTATAGAATATATCTGAAAAGAAAAAAAGAAAATGTTGAAAGTTTCTATTAGCATAAATGATAAATGAGATGTGCATTTCCTGAAACAGTTTTAAGCTGTTTCCAGGTAGTTTCAGTGTGTATTTACAATGCTTTCCACAAAGATCCATATAGCACAAAGCCTGTCAAAGTTGCAAGTCAAGCATTTCACACCCCAACCCCACTGTCATGGGCTTGGTTACTTTTTCCACTGTTCCCCAGAAAATAAATTATTATGAGGTGCATAGCTCAAATTTAACTCAAGCTGTCTGAACACTGCTTATGGACTGCAAGGGAAAATTTTCCTCGCCTTACCAGCAGATGAATGTTAAGCTTAAGCACCCAGAGAGCTGTTACCCAGTTCTGTAACAATTAAAGCAGGAGAAGGCTCCATCATCCATAACAAAACATAAATACCATTTAAAAAAGACAGAGTTGACCTTTCTCAAAAAGAAAGTCAGAACTAATCTCATTATGGTATCAACCAGATGTCACTTTGGGATGCACAGTAATACTTTCAACCTGAACAAAGAGGTTGAGAAATCAAAGAACCCATATACCTCAAACCAAAATCCTGTCAAGGAAGTCTATAACCATAGCAAAGATGTTAGCTTGAAAAGTCCTCCATCACAATGTTTTGACAGCTTGCTTAGCAAAATGAAACTTCTTGTAACTAATCTAAGACACATTCTGTTCAATGCTTACAAATTAATCATCTCCTTAAGCGTCTGAGCAAAGACTACTATGTAAGATTTTTATAGAGTCATACTGCTTGCTTTTTTCACAAGGATTCTCAGCAAATGATTCTGAGTCAAGATTATTTCCCTGAAAGTCATTCACAAATCTTTTTCAGTCTTGTTTTCGAGCAAAAGGGCAATCTGCTTAAGCCTCTATTAAGTTACAAATCTGAAAACACCTGGTCCAGGAAGTGTCACACAGACAGGTTTTTGGAAAAGCATGGAGCATTAGCATCAGTCACAGAGAACCATATTGCACCAATTTAGGCAGACGCTGTACTGCTGTTTAGGTGAAGAAAGTATATGAACAGGCCTGCTTGCACAAACAGCACTTAAATTCAAGCACAAGACACAAATAAAGAGATCTCTTCAGTACTGGATATACAGAATTAAGTCTATGGATTGCAACAACAGGATTCTATTTAATTATTAAGTGCTAAAACATAGGTAATTTTTTAATATCTTATAGAAGTATTTAATTGTATCTGATTTACTCCACTCAGTATTCCTCAGATTTTAGTAAAACTAAGCCTCTGTTAAAAATTAAATGGTTTGGCATCCAGCAGCACACTGGAAACTGGAATCCAAGTAAGTAGCTATGCTGCCAACACGGCAGAACAGAAGCATTTAAGCCAACTCCCGTGTCTGCAGAAAGCGCGTTCTTAAAAACAAGGTCTGTTATACTGTGGACAGAATTGCAAAGCCAATCACACAGCATTAGTCAACTGCCTGTCAAAGTCCATCAATACCCTAGTAGCCTACATAAGATAATTAGAATTACTACACAACAGGAACTAAAAAAAAAAAAAATTAAAAAAATCATTAAGAAGCCTGAGCTACTAACACACTGCAAGAGCAAAATCAAATACTGCTCACCAACAAGAATACAGCTAAATAACTCTTCCAGCATAACAGCTAGGTCTTCCCAAAGTTACCAGTATTACAAGGAAAAGAATAAATGCTTTAAAATCATTACACATTACTTCATTATCATCTTAAAAAGTTAAATAAGTCCTAATACAAATTGTATCTGTACAGCTTCAGCTGAAGTTAAGGCATATACCTTATTCTGCTCAGGTGTAGCTTCCTTCAGCTGCTTTAATTCCTCCTTGTGCTTCTGTTCAAGTTCTGCCTCCAGTTTGGCAACTTCATCAGCCAGCTGTTTTCGTCTCTTTTTATCATTCTTGGGAACAGCATTTTTCATGCCTTGAATTTTTGCTGTTAAAGAAGCAGCGAGATAAAATGTTACCTCTAAATATAGCTACTCCACAATCATTGAAGGAAGGAGGGCTGCTAGTCTTAAAAGAAATTACACACGTCAAGATACCACAATTATCACATTTTAAAATCACGTACATTTTCTTAACACACACAATCATAACATCCTAAGAAGAAAAAAGCTTGTATGCGGTTGCTATTAAGAACACTTAAGAATTTTATCAACACAACAGACCTCAGCCTGTTTCTTCCAAATAAAATTATTTGGTTATTGAGTTCTCAAATCCTATCACAGAAAAGGTGTATGCTTTTTATAGCAGACAAAGAAAAAACAGAGATTACCTGTCCTTAATAAAGCTTCTAAAAGCTGAATTCAAGAAGTATGTCTTGAATAAGATAAGCATCAATTTGCTTAAGTCCCTTAAGTATTTTTAGGCCTTCGGTCAAGGCTTCATTTCTTCAATGACAAAATAGTTTGGTTAGAAAGGATGTCCAGAAGTGATCTAGTTCAACCTCCTGCTCCAAGCAGGGCTGATGACAAAGTTAGATCAGGAATTTATTCATGACTGTGGAGCATCTCCAGGGATGGACGTTCTGCAACTTTTGGGGGCATTCTTTTCTAGCATTCAACCATTCTTGTTATGAAAATGTTTTTCTTTTTTTCTTCCCAAGAGAATCTTTCTTACTACTTCCAACTCTTGTCTCTAGCCTGTTCACTATGCTTTGCTTGAAGAGTCCAGCTCCACCTGTTCCATTTGGTAGTGGAAACAACCAGATCCCCCATAATCTCTTCTCCAGGCTGAATAAACTCAGCTTCCACAGCCTTTGCACTTACACAAACATACCCTGATAGCTCTCCTCACTTCTGCATTCACTGTTTTAGTGTTCCAGCACTAACTGCTTAACACCCTGCTTACAATTCATCACCAGTACATTTTTACTGCCCTTCACCCTTGACTGGGTGACTGCAATGATAATGAAACTTTTCAAAAAGAGACTGCAAGAACACTTACACTAAAAGATTTATGTCAAGTATTCAGCCTCACAGATGAAGCACTTGAGTTAGACAAAGAAGCAGTTCTGATCATAAAGATTGATGTAATGAGGGAGAAGGAAATCCATGCACGGACTCACCAGTACGCAAGGAGAGTACATTGTGGGGTGGCAGCTACAAGGATCATTAAGTGGAAGAGATGCTGGGTTCTCAGAGGCTGAGATGCACCTTACATTAATTCTTTGGAACAAATTGTTTTGCTGTCAGTTAATCATTGTACTTCTCGGGAATGTGTTTTTCAAGTGAGTAGGTTTAAGTTACCTGCCTCTCCATCACGAAGACGGACTCAGTCTTCTGTAAAGAACCTGCTGCCCTTTTAGGCAGGGGAGGACTGAAATTCCTCAGCATCTCCCAGCTAGCGTACCATGTGCTCCAGCTACCTAATTCTTGATTACTACCTGTCTTTTCAATATCAGTTAACTTCAGGGGATGAAAAACCATCTCAAAATACTAAGTTCCTACAAATATAATAATAATTATTAGCTGTTATTAGTTAATAGCCAAATAGTTTCTCTCCACCTCTTTAACCCTTTGATAAGAAGGCTGCAACTGACATATCACACACCAAAGAAACCAAACAAGGAAAAGGCCACATCAATGTAGATTAACAAAAAGGTTACAATGAACAATGAAACTCAACAGAATCCAGCTGGCAGAACATTAATATATAATGGGGCCAGTAAAATGGGGCTCATAAGAGTTGAAGCGCGGTGCTGTAAGCCCACACGGGTCCTCTACTACAGGGATGGCCGGGTGGGAGGTTGGAGGTGGATCACTGCAGATCAGCCGCGTTTGGGATGATGAAATGTGGCCGCATGGGCAGCGGGGAGGCCGGCTTCCCTAAAACACCTCACAGAAGCACACATCTCCCTCCACTTCAGGGCAAGGCAGCGCGGTGCTGGCAGCCTGGCTGTTATGGCGGGGCTGCTACCTCACCCTCCGTGCCCTTCCTACGCGGCCAGACACAGATCCCACACGGCAGGCAGCAGTAATATCACGACTATCGTCTTCCTTCCTGTCGTGAGCGATGTCCCTTGCTCTCCCGGAGCTGGGGCCGCTGTAACCCCACCGGGCACCCCAAAACCTTCCTCCCCCCCCCCGCAAAGCGAGGCGCTAGGCGGGGAAGGCCGCTCCCTCCTCCCGGCGAGGCGCCTCACCTTGGAGCTCCCGCTTCTCCTTGCGCTGCCGCTTGACGAGGCGCTGCAAGGGCCCGCCGTCCTCCTCCTCTTCATCCTCCTCCGCCGCCATCTCCTCCTCCTCCTCGGCCCCGCAGCCCTCCATGGGCGCCCGGCGGCACCTCCCTCCCGCCCCGCGCACACGGCGCCTCAGCGCTGAGGGGAAGCGGCCGCCATGACGCGTCCCGCCCTTCCCTCCCCTCCCCTTCCTTCACCGCCGGCACCGGCCGCTCTCTCCGCTGCTGTCGCCGGGGGGCGATGGTGGCCAAGGGCTTCTCGCCGCTCGGCATGGCCGCCGGAGCCAGCCCGGACGGGTTTCTGCTTTGTAGGGCCGCGAGGGGGTGAAGAGGGCAGGGGGTGTTTAGGGGGAAAGCAGCCCCCGTCTCCTTTCTGCCCCCTGACGAAAATAACCACCCAGCTCCTTGCGCCGACCAATGCTCGATGAGGAGCTTATTTATCCTGTTAACTTTGGTGCAAAATAGAGTGTTATGTACATGTTTGTTCATTTATTTATTACCTGGAATTAATTAAAGCTACGAAGTACCTTATAGACTCGGGCTTTTCCAAGTTGTGATGTTCGTGGTTTGTGTCTCCTCACCACCGTGAAGTTATTTCTCATTCTCTCTAGTCTTTTTTATTATGGTAATATAAAATAATATCTCTTTTTATTATAGTAAAACCCAAATGTCTTGGTTGGGGTTAAATCCCCACCACAAAGTGTGCTGAAGAGTGTGCAAACCTTCCTGAGGATGTCGGAGCTACAGGTTGCTGCTGAGTGTTAGCGTGGAGTGAGAAGCTCAGTTCACTGCTGGCACATTTATTTTGTGTTCATTTGGGTAAAATTATAATTGAAAACTTTAATAATTGTTTTTGAAATGACGTAAATCAAGCAAAAATCTTGCTACTGGAAATATTTGCATTAATCTCTTATGGCATTGCTGTTACTGTTTTCCATTTGAATTAGCAGATCCTCTGCAAGTACAGTGCCAAGCACAAAGAAAGGAAACTTTGATCTAAAGCAGAATTGTAAGGTGATGGGTCAGACTCCTGTGCTGCACCAAACCACACAATTACCTGTATCCTGAATATATGTTATATTTTGCCCTTCCCTCCATCTGCTTTTTTCCTGCCTGTTGGAATAAAACTAAATAACAAGCCTTATCTCAATTGCCAAACAAACAACAGCAAAAAAAAAAAAAAAAGTCTCATTGAAAAACAATGAGGAGGGGTTGTCTTTCAACTGGAAAGAGAGGTTAGTGTTGGAACTTGATAGAATTGGCCCTGTAAGTATTTTTGTATACTATTAACAAATACAGAATATGGACAAATACAGATTTGGGATAGATTTGTCTTGATTAACATATATATGTACTCTATATCAGATTGTTAATGACCTGTTTGTCACACGTGTGCATATATGAATATACTGATGTAATACATTAAAAATGCTTTATATTTAAAAATAATAAATACTGGTTTTGTCTCCTACCTTTTTTGTCAGACTTTTGTCACATCTTCAGCAGTAGTCTGATATATATATAAAACAAATGCCAGTGAGTTCCTAAGCTGACCAAATGCAAAGTGCTGTGATGATAGAAGTGGGCGGATACAAGTGATCTGATGATACACTACCCACATTTGAACACCACACATCTTAACTCAATTATCAAGGTTACATGAGATTGGAGATTTTAGCACACAGTACGTATGAGGGAGTACATTTTAGAGACTAGTGGTACAATAAATGCTGGGGAGGTCGTGCTACACAGCCAGCTAAACCTGAGTTTCCTCTGCTGCTGCAAAGCGTAGAATGAATGAAAATTACTAAGAAGAGCACTGCCATTGCTAGCAATAGGCTACAGGCTTAATGCCAACTTCTCAAGGCCTCAGTCCTGTTCTACGGGGTTTGTTATCAACCTGTTGTGAGAACCTGACCTGTGAAAGGGAGCTTGGTGCCAGACATCTATTATGAACTGAGTTTAATGTGGGATAACAGCAAAGGCCTTGAAAATACTGGAACAAGTCGAAAACCGAGAGCCCAACAGTATAAACAACCAGTTCTTACAGTATTGCAAACTATGAGAAGGACTCCTCTGAGCATACCAAAGAAGAGCAGCAGCAGCTAAGAGAAGAACAACTGAGCAACAGGAGGGATTTGCTGAGACCTGAGAAAGAAGGGCTCCCAAGTACCACAAGGTGTGCATATGGTTTAGGGGTGTAGTCCAAAGGCTGCCTGCCAGCTTTCTCATGCAAATCATCATTATGGGGATCTGCAGTCATGATGTCAGGGGGATTGACAGGGCTGCAGGTGTGCTACCTGCTCTCCCTGCCTGTGCTGAGGGTCCTGATGCCCCTTGCCTGCTTGCCCCATGATCCCTGGCTCCTCAAGGATGTCTTGGCCTGCCAGCTCATTAGGAACATGCACATTAGGATCAGGTTCATGCATTTTTTCCCAAAAATATGCTGTGCCTTTTCCCTGTTCAACACTTAAATAAAATGTTTAAATAAAGCCTTATTGTGTCTAAGCTCAGTTCAGCTGATTATGGTTCCTGGGCAGAAAGGATGATTTAACAATAAGGTCATAATAAAATCTAACGGTTAGAAGCTGGAAAAAAAAAAAAAAAAAAGGAGAGAGAACTGAAATCTGAGGTAACTAACTGTGAAACACTTTATCTAGGATGCGATAGGTTCACTCACACAAGTCTTTCAAGTCTTTAAATCAAGTCTGGGTGCCTTCCTATAGATATGCAGTAGCTCATCTGTAAATTACAGGTTCCATGCAAGAAAAGTTTATTAAAATTCTCTCAGAATTCAAAGGAGTCTGGAGACTGGATTATTATAATCACCCTTTCTGGTATTAACATTTAGGATTTTATTAATCTGTTTTGGAAAGAGAAACTCTAACTTCCCATCCAAACCAATGATAGCTATAAAATGGTCTGTACTAAGCATCGTCTGGTTTACATAGTGTCAAAATAGGAATTTTCAGAATTAAGGGGTGCTTTTGAAATGTGCCTTAATATTGGCAAATTAGTCACTGAAGTCGTTGACTGAGGGTTACCTTTGATAACAGCTGACTGGAACAGTGAATTTACAAGCTGTTTTGTTCTCTTTTTTCATATTGATTTTCTGAAAATGAAAGAATGCATTGCTATTTGAAGTATTATGCTTTGACATAATTTCTGGTATCTTTCTCCCAGTAGTTTCCCAGTGTTTAGTAAGCATGCTGAAGTTCAGGAGGACCTTTTGTTCATAGGTATTTTATAAGTCAGGGTGGAACCTGTAGTACTTCTGGCACTGTGAAAATCTAGATGTTGTATCTTCAGTGCCAAAATCAGGAAGCTAGTGCTGTGTAGCAGGCAGTTTTCATGACAGCAGTAATGAGCATCCACATCTTACTCCAACTGAATGGTATAAAACATTAGTCAAGCAAAGAAGCTGTCTTACTACTTTTAGGTAAATGTGTATCTCATTTCCCTCCATTATCTCCCAGATGTTTCTTGCTGGTTGTGCACTGTAGTGAATTACAGACTTGGCTGTAGCCATACACAAAATTCTTAAAGTAGCTTTATTGTTTCACTGAGGTTTTGTTGACCATTTTCTGACTTACACACTATGTAACCAGTCACTCTGGATCATTTGATGCAGGGCATTGAATAAGAAGTAGCTAAATTTTCCTTTTCTCGGTGTCATAAATCAGCTTGTAGTAAGATTTGCAATTATTCTGCATAAATTAAGAAGTATACATTAAATTGCACTGAAGCCTCCACATAATATAAGGATTAATATAGCACATTTTAATTTGCTCCTAAAACCTGACATAGTATATGTGCACGTTAAGATGTTTAGATTGTTTATGCCATGCCTCTATCTTAAAGATGCCAGCCTGAAATTTCACTAACAGCTGTAAATGAGCTACATGAGCTTTTCCTGTTGTTAGTTATGTTTTCTGGAAACAGTGTCAGTATATTTTAGTAACAGGACATCTGCAGCTAAGATCCCTCATCCATGAAACTGTTTCCTAATATTTCTTCAACATCTATCTGACAAGTGTAGGCTTGCATCTGACAGGTATAGGCTTGGGGAAGAGTGGCTGGAAAACTGCCTGGCAGAAAAGGACCTGGGAGTGCTGGCTAACAGCTGGCTGAACATGAGCCTGCAGCATGTCCAGGTAGCCAAGAAGGCAACTGGCATCTTGGCTTGTATCAGAAATAGTGTGGCCAGCAAGGCCAGGGAAGGGATTGTCCCTCTGTACTCAGCTCTGGTGAGGCCGCACCTTGAGCACTGTGTTCAGTTTTGGTCCCCTCACTACAAGAAAGGTATTGAGTGGCTGTAATGCGTTCAGAGAAGTGCAACAAAGCTGGTAAAGGGACTAAAAAATGAGTTATGAGGAGCCACTGAGGGAACTGGGTTGTTTAGTCTGGAGAAAAGAAGGCTGAGGGGAGACCTCATCACTCTCTACAACTACCTGAGAGGAGGTTGCAGCAAAGAGGGTGTTGGTCTCTTTTCTCAGATGACAAGTGACAGCATGCAAGGAAGCAGTTGTGCCAGGCAGACTGGATATCAGGAAAAATTTCTTCACAGAAAGGGTGCTTAGGCATTGGAATGGGCTGCCCAGGGAAGTGGTGGAGTCCCCATCCCTGGAGGTATTTAAGAGACTTGTGGATGTGGTGCTTAGGGACATGGTTTAGTGGTGGACTTAAAAGTGTTAGGTTGATGTTTGGATTTGATGATCTTGAGGGGCTTTTCCAGCTTAAATGATTCTATTATTCTATAAATCTAAGTGTCTGGACCTAATGCAAATCTAATCACTTAAATCTGTAATGAATCACGTTTATCAGTTAAACAAAATAGAGGGATTTATTTCTGGAATTGACGTTTCAGAGCTCACAAAGCCAGATATATTTACCCTTTCTATTTGTTGGACTAAAAAGTGTAAAAATAATCTCAGGTCTCTTTGCAAATGCAAACAGATTCAGGGTCACTCATTATTCAGTTATCTTACAAACACTGGGATCCAGAGAAAATGTGGGTGTTACCAGGAGATGTCCTTGATTTCTATGAAGACTGCTATTGAGAAAGATGAATATTAGTGGTAGAACAATTTTGCCAACCTCTACAAGTGTATTGTTTCACAGTGTTTTGCCTTCTTAAATCTCAGCACTTGGAATGGAGAGACTTTATTAAAACCTGCAAG